GCCTGGTTTCGGGCCGCCTGCGGCCGGGCTTCGGCTCCGCTGAGGCGCCGGCTGGGCGGGAGGGGAGGGTCGGAGAGGGTCGTCCTCGGGCGGGTCTCGGGCTGTGGGCCTCCCCGGACGCGGCCGTGCGCCCCTTCTCCCGGCTGCGCGCCCCCACCGCCACGGCTGTGCGCACCCCCTCCCCGCTCCCGCTGCGCCGCGCGCCTCTTGGGCTTCCCGGTCCGTGAAATGGGTGCAGAGCCTCGCTCGTGGCCCGCAGCCCCGGCGCTCACCTGTGCCGTTCCCCGGGGCGGGTTCGGCGTCCACCGCGCGCCCCCCGGGCCTCGCCCTGCGGCGAGGGGTCGAGGCCGCCCCGTGCATCCCTGCGCTCCTCGCCGCTCGGCGGGGACCGCGGGGCCTGAGCCGGAGGGGCGGGGCGGCCCGGGACACGTCCCCTAGGGCCGGCCCCGCCCCGTAGGTCGGGGGCGGGGCCGACCCCGCGGGAGCCCCAACCCCCCAGGGGGCAAAGCTGGCGGTGCAGGAAGTCTCGCTCCAGGGCTCTGCACGGGCTTTGCCCTCGGCTCCCGCCCCTCTGAAAACCCCGGTTCCCCAGGCCAGGTGTCCTCCGTGAGCGGCACATGTGAACCCCATCCGTGTCCCTGTGGGCCAGGCCCTCTGAGCTGGGGGGTCGATGCTGTAGGTCTTCACTGAGGAGCCCCGGGTGGTGGGGGCAGATTCAGACCCCTGGGGTCTGGCTGTGCCCTCACGAACGCGGCGGGGCACCTGCCCTCTCCCGGCTCAGCCCTCGGCCCAGCTCCCCGGGTCGTGGTCCGGGCTGGACCCGGAGCTGCAGCCCGCCCCTTCCTCTCCCTCTGACCCCACCCCGCCCAGGCGCCGCGTCCTTGCCTGGCCATTCGCCCAGGGGGGGCTCTCAGACTACTTCCCAGCAGAGGCGGCACTGGGTGGCTCAGGGCTGCTCCCAAGCAGGCTTGTCTCTTGCGGAGTTGGAGGAAGTGATCTTGGAAGAAAGAACAGCAGATGCAAAAGTCCTGAGGTGGAATATTTTGGAAGCTTGAAGAACAGCCGAAGTCCCTGGCTCGTGAAGCCTGAGAAGGTGGCCCAGGTGGACAGGACTGGCTCTGGAGGGCCTGCCAGGTGGCACAAAGAGGTGAGTGTTCTCCTGGAACCACAGAGCAGGGTCCCAGCAGGGCAGCCCATCCCCACCTCTGCTTTCAGAGCCAGTGGAATACGTGAGGGACCCTCCCCTCTCCTGGGTCTGAGTTGCAGTCACCCCATAATATCTGGTCCCCACTTCAGACCTGTGGACCACACATGATGAGTTTCTTCAGTTCCCCTGACCAAGCAAGCATATCCCGTTTGCCACATGGGAAAGCCAGGTGAGCCCACAGGGCCTGCTGGGATCCCTGCTCCCTCTAGACCACACTAGGCTGGAGCCCCAGAATTCCCTGCCAGAGGCGCCCAGCCCATCTCTAGGGCTTGCACACAGGGCTAACCCTGGTCTCTGCTTGTGAGTGGGAGGGGAGGTGGGACCGGCTGGCCCAGGCCTCCAGGAGTCCCAAATGCCAGATTGAGCCTGGCCACTTAGGGCGGTATGTTCCGGGGTACCTGCTGTAACAGGGCGCCACAGGCTGAGTGTCTTAGGACTGCACACCTGTTGTCTCGGGGCCTGAGATCAGGTGCCAGCAGATGTGTCCCCTCCAAAGGCCCTAGGAAGGATCTATTCCAGGCCTCTGTTCAGCTTCCTGTAATTCCCTGGCTTGTGGCTGTATCATGCCAAACTTCACATGGCCGTCTGTCCCTTTGTACATTTCTGTCGCTGCCCAGATTTACCCTTTTTATAGGGACACTAGTCTTACTGGATTAGAGGCAGCCCTTCTGACCTCACTTTAACTTGGTTACCTGTAGAGAGGTACTGTCTCCAAAAACGGCATGTTCTGAGGTACTGGGGTTAGGACTCCAGCACTTGAATTTGGGGGGTGGGGGTCTGGGCACAGTTCATCCCCTGACAGATGGCAGCAAGGTCAGGGACACAAACTGTTCTCGCTGGTCTACAGCTGGGTAGTGGGTTCTGGGCGTTCAAGCATGTGGTGCTGGCCCCCTCTCCTGTTAGGCAGCTGGGGTGGCCCAAGACCTCTGCCACATCCCACGGGAAACCGTGTCCCTTGTCACAGCTCAGAACACCCACCTGCCACGAAAGCCGTCAGAAGCAGCAGGGGGCACTGGGGTCGGTTCTAGAGGTGGGTCCGTGGCTGATATGAGCCATGTGCTGGGCTGCTGCATCCATCCATGTTTTCCGGGGCCTCTTGGAGAGCCCGGCAACGCTGACTGTGTGCAGGGAGGGAAACCGAGGCCCAGGTGGGGAAGGCACTTGGCCCACCTCAGATGACAGACTGCCTGGGCCACCCCCTGCCCCAAAACCTTGTCCCCTCATCCATGGCTGAGACCGTGACTCTGACAGGCCCCCCCACCCCAATGCCACGAAGCTTAGTGTTTTCATCTGGGGGCTAGAGAAGGTTCTGCCACCTTCCTGAGATCACCCTGAGATCACGGAGGCCCTGCGGTGATCAAGGCTGGAACTGGGCCCCTCAGGCCCCACCCCCTTGCCACCTCCCCCCCGCCCCCCTCTGCCCTCCCAGCTGCCCAGGGCCCCAGCCTCTCTGTGTCCTGGCCCAGACTGGGAGCAGTGCCTGGGCTATGCCAGGGTCTCTTACCTTCAGGCTTCAGCCCCCCCTTCCAGGGAGCCCTCCCTGTTTACCTGCAAACAGCCCCTACAGCGACCTCAAAGCCTGTGCTGAATCTCAGAGAGGACTGTGGCTCCCCCTGTGCAGGTGTAAGGGGCCAGGAAGGAACTTGTGGGCGGCTGTTGGAGAGGCAGCAAGAACCCACACGGACGCCTTGGGGAGCTGATTGAAGCCGTGGCCTCTGCATTTGGGGTCTGGCCCACACCCTACCACATGCCCATCTCAGTTTACAACTGGGAGCAGGCAGTACGCTGGAACATTGTGGAATGAATGGACTCGTGGAAAGGAACCAGGGAAGGCAGTGAGGGGAGAGAGGTCTGAGGCCCTGGGTCTCCGTGTTCTGCTCTGTAAAGTGGGCTCATACCTGTGCTGCCAGACCTGTCAAGGGGATGGGGAGGATCTACCCTGGGGGTCTCCTCTTCCTGAAGGGGTCCCATGGGCACCTTCCTCAGCCCCCAGTTTGACCGATGTGGTGTCCATGGGCCCTGGCGGCCTGGGGGAGAGGGGCTGTTCATAAGCCTGGATGGGGGCAGGTGTGGTTTTTCGTGTTTCCCTCAAATCGGATAATAACTGTAGAAATGTAAAATGCTGTTTATTTTCTTTAAATATTCTTTTTTTGGGGGGGCGCCTGGGGGGCTCAGTCAGTTGAGCGTCCGACTTCAGCTCAGGTCATGATCTCACAGTTTGTGAGTTCGAGCCCCGCGTCGGGTCAGGCTTTGTGCTGACAGCTCGGAGCCTGGAGCCTGCTTCGGATTCTGTGTCTCCCTCTCTCTCTGCCCCTCCCCCACTCGCACTCTGTCTCTATCAAAAATAAATAAAATGTAAAAAAAGAAATTTTAACAAATATTCTCTTTTTAACACTTATTATTTATTTATTTATTTTGAGAGAGAGCGGGGGACGGGCAGAGAGAGAGAGAGAGAGAGAGAAGCCCAAGCAGGCTCCATGCTGTCAGGGCAGAGGCCGATGAGGGGCTTGAAACCACAAACTGAGATTAAGACCTGAGCCAAAATCAAAATTCAGATGCTTAAACGACTGAGCCACCCAGGCGCTCATATATATATATATATATATATATATATGTATATATATATATATACACACACACACACACACACATATATATATATATATATATTTTTTAATTTATTTAAGTAAAACCTACACCCAGCATGGGGCTCAAACTCATGACCCTGAGATCAAGAGTCACATGCTTTTCAGACTGAGCCAGCCAGGCGTCCCTTCTTTAAATATTATTGATTTTGGTTTGTTTGTTTCTAGTTGATAGAAACGTGAGATACTCATCCTAAAAATCTTTTACCGTGGACCAACTCCAGAAAGTTCTATCGAAAGATGGTTAAGAGGGAAGCAGTGTGGCCTCAATGGGCTTTGCCTCCTTTTTTTTTTTTTTTTTTTAATTAAAAGCAATTTTCAAAAAAGTAACCTGAGGTTGTAGCTCCAACGAGCTGAATGTTTGGGCTGAATTTCCCCAAAATGTTTTCTGTCAGGCCATTTGGTGCCCGTGCGCACACTGGCCGTTCAGCTGCCCCACAAGAAGGCGAGACTCTGCTCCGTGTCAGGCCCCAGCTCTGACTGCTGGGCTGTCCGCCCCTGGCCAGCCGCCTCGCAAGCCAGCTTGCCTGGGCCTTCGGGAGGGGGGTGGGGGAGTCACCCCAGGCGACACCCAGCTGCTGCCTACAGGTTTACAGTGACAGTGACGGCGTGGGGCTCCTGCGGGGACACAGGCCTCGGGGCCACATGCTTCCCCGGAGGGTGAGCGCAGGTGGTGGGTTCACCGACTAGATCCCAGCAGCCCCTCCTGCAGGACAGCCCTCACAGGAGGGACACAGCCTTCGGGGCTGACCCCGCGGCTCCTCCGCCCCCACCGCTGGGCAACTGTTTCTTGCCTCTTGCGTCTTCTTTATGCTGGAGTTTCTACAACAAGCATGAAGCCATTCTCTAGTCAGAAAACAGGAAGCTAGTAAAACCTTTAAGGGTGGGGTCCCTGTAAATGATTGCACACATTCACAGGACAGTCGGGACTCCACTGTGAAAAGATGCGTAATAATCCCTCATTTGCACATGGGGAGACTGAGGCATGGAGAAGGGGACTGTCCCATCCAAGGCCACTCACCAGAATGAGAGGGTTTGGGGCCTGCGGGGGCGGGGGCTCGTCCTCGAGCAGGGTTCAGGCGAGCCAAGCTGTAACAAGTGCACGGGAGGGTCAAGGGCGATCCTGGGGCTTAGTGCTGATGAGCTGCCTAAGCTTCTTTGAAGCCTGCACCTGCCCAGGGAGTCCCCGGTCACCAGAGAAGTGTGAGAGCCTGCCCCTCATGCTCCGCAGGCCCAGTGCCCAGTGGCCCCCGTCAGTCCCCCTTGTCACACTGTGGTTGGCTTTGGACGAGCCCCGCCCCTCTCTGGGCTCCAGTCTGGCTCCCACCTCCCCCAAGCCATGCCTGTGGATGCTCAGAGCTCTCTCTCTGGCACCTCAGAGGCCCAGGCTTGGGGCCCGTTCACGGCCTGGGGAGGCACTGCTGGGGCTCCCTATACAGCCGGGGAGGCTGGCTAAGGCCATCCGAATGGATAGATCAGAGAGCCCTGGACCCTGGCAGGTGCTGAGAGGGCTCTCATTTCACAGATGGGGACACAGCCGGCGGGGGAGGGGTCTCCTCTAGTGACACAGCTCATCCCAGACTTCTGCTCCAAGGCCCAGACGCTGGGGCCTGACTGTCCGGCTCTCTGTGCCTCTGTTTTCCCACCTGTACAATGGGTGCGCTAGACGTGCAGGGCCTCCAAGCACGTGCAGCGCATGCGGCCCACCATCAGGGCTGGTAGGAGGGGCTCATGCCATCGCTGGAGAAGTGTGCCGGACAGCAGCGCGGGGAGGGCCAGGCTGCACACCTGCCCCTGCCCCAGCACTCTCTGTGCTGATGACCACGCTTCCCAGTAACCACCTTGAGCACTGTGCTGTCTTCATTTAATGGGTGAGAAACTGAGGCTCAAGATTGTGACTCATGCATTTTGCTAAGTGGCTGCCCCGGGCGGCTACAAGAGACAGAACCCCAGCGTTGGCCCAGGGGCCATGGTGACGAGTTCTGAAAGCCCTTGGGGCTCTGGGTCCCCGGGCAGGGGGGCCACCCTCCCAGCGTCCCAACACTGCTTCCCAGGGACGCGCTGGACCACGTGCTCACTTGTCCCTGGGCCACCTGCTGCAGTGAGGCAGAGGCGTGCCACAGGCCTGACCACTGCTGGGGCTCCAGGGCTCCAGGGACGTGCCGCTGCACGGCAGTGGCAATGCTCACGACGGTCATTTCTGCTCATGCATCTGCATCCAGGCCCAGCTGCAGAGGGCTCACCGGGGGCTGCTGGGGCTTCCACGCAGCATGGTGCTGACTCCCGGGAGCACGTGTCCCAGAACACGGGGAGTGGGAGTTGCCCCTTTCTGTAAGTGTGGCCTGGAACTCGCTTGTGTTCTGTTCTGTCCATCAAGCGGCCATGGAGCTCGGGTTCAAGGAGCGAGACAGACCTCACCTCTCAGTGGTACGATCCTCAGCAAGTTTGAGAGCCACATGGGGGCCTGGGCACTGGGCCAGCTTGTCCCAAACGCTCCTTGCGTATCCGCCAGGCACACCAGGAGCTGTCCCCAAATCACAGAGTAGGATCGGATTCAGACCCCAAATGTGGGTGCGACCCCGCTGAGTTCCGAGGGACACAGACACGCACCAGCCGACCCAGGGCTCCGGAGGACTGGGCGTTAGCGCTGGAGGGGATGCGGGTCACATCGTCCAGATGTTCATCTGTATTTTCTAGACTGTTCAGAGGAATGTGTACTTTGTCCATCTAGCCACCTGGAGCGAGGCCGGCTGAGGGCATGTGGGCACAGCCCACGACCAGAGATGAGGGCATCTCTTGACTGCATTCCTGACAGTGGCCCCTCTCAGCCTGGGTGGTTCCATGCTCACGGCCATCCGGGTTTTGCTGCTCCCTTTCCTCCCTTGTCCCCTGCACCACCGTGCTCCTGAGACCCTTGGAGACCACCTCGTTCCCAGCTCCTCTGTGAGGCTCACAGAGGCCAGGAGAGACACTGAGGCTAACCCAGTCGGTGAGGGCCAAGGCCCTGATGGTGAGCACAGGCTGGATTTCAGTGTGGCTACATGCTCAGTGGGGCCTTTGCACAGTGGACAACACGCTCAACTGAGTGCAGCAATCCTTTGTGGGAAGCGGGCTGCTGCAGTCTGCAGAGGCTGGAGACTCCCAGGTCCTACAGAGGGTGGCCATCACCTCACCTCTGCAAGCCAGACTCAAAGGGGTGATTAGGCTGCATGGTGCCTGCTCAGCCCTCTTGCCTCTGTGTCCTCTTAGCCGGTCACGCAGTGCCGCCTGGGGCTGCTCTGGCTGCCGTTTCCCTGATCTCCCGGGTCCACAGGGCCTGGGAGCGAAGCCTTCTGTCATCTCATCCAGCCCTGTGGCTCTGCCGGTGTTTCCATCTCAGCCTCAGTACCACCTCCCGCAAGAAGGCCTCCCTGCTGCCCTGGCTGGGCTGGGCTGGGCTGAGGAGGCCACGAGCAGACAGATTCCGCCCGGAGTGCAGGGACCACACGTGGCTCATCTCTGCCAGGCGCAGGGCAGCCGGCACCAGCAGAGTCCACGGGCAAGAGCTGCTTCAGGTGGGTGGTGCTGGTGGCACCTCGGGCAAACTCCCCTTCTGTTCTTTCCACTCGCCAGGTGGAGCTCTGGCCCAGACCATCAGCGACCTTGAGCTCAGACCCTGGTGCTGCTGTGGTGCTTTGGGCAGGTTGTCTGTGGCAGGGGCTGCCTGTACACCCCCCTCCGCCCCGTGGCTTCTCAGCCAAGCCCCTCGGGGCCCGAGGCTCCCCAAGGCTCCTCCCGATGGCCTTTCATTTTCTGTGATCTGAGGCTTTGCCAGGCGTGCTGACCCTGGGGGCGCCCCCCCCCCCCCCCCCAGTGCTTGGAGATGGTAAAGGATGCCCCCGGGGCTGCCTTCACCTGCAGGCCAGCCTGTGCAGAGCCACAGCCACCTCCTTGCCCCCTGGCCCTGTCCACTTGCCCTAGTCACCCCAGGCCGGGTATCAGACGGCCTCCGAAATTACCCGAACTGCCAGTCGGAAGCCCAGCAGCGTGAGCCGCAGAGACTTCAGGGCCTGATGCTTTGTCCTCACAAGCCTGGGCGCCGCACAGGGGTTCACGCTGTCAGACAAGGGGCCCCACAGGCCTCGCCTGGTGCTCCCAGCTCTGCCCCTTTGTCAGACTCGGGGGGTCACAGCCCCGATCTCTCCAGCAGCACCTCGGGTCTCTTCAGACCACAGTCTCTGAACAGGGCACTTCCTGAGTCAACACCCCAGCAGGTTCCCTTCTGCCCAAGGGCCCCTCCCCGATTTGTCCTCAGCTAACATCCAGCTCTACTTTCCACCTGAGGCAAGGGTGGCCTCCCCTCCCTCCCGTCTCAGCTCTCACCGGCGGTGCCCTCATAGTCCGCATTTCAAGTGGGAGCGCGCCCCACACTCCTCCCGTCCGCAACTCCACAGCCACTCAGTTTGGGGTGTTAGTCACACAGCCCGTCCCGTATTGCACGGAACCCGTTTGTTGGAGCTGCCATGCAAATGGCCACAAAGTTGGCAACGACAGAAATTAAGGGATTAAAACAGCAGAAATTTACTCTCTCTTGGTTCTGGAGGCAGGGAGTCTGGGGTTAGGGTGAGGGCAAGGCCACACTCCCCCTGGGAGCGTGGGGGGCCTTCCGGAATGTCCTCTCCTCTTCTGATAAGCACTTACTGGGTTTGGGGCCCTGCTCTATGCTTAACCAGCAACATCTGCAAAGACCTTATTGCAAATAATGTCACCTTTTGAGGTTCCGGATGGACGAGAATTTGGAGGTAACGGACACCATTCAACCCGAGACACCTGTGTTGGCTCTCTGCCCTTCTCCATCTCATTCTCCACCCACACAGCTCTTTCTAGGTGGCCTCCTCAATAAACTCCTTGCATTCAATCCACATAACAGGATCTGCTACTGAGAGAAACCTGACACAGCCCCTGCTCTGATCTCCTGGGGACCTCCCCGTGCTGAGCCGTAGCGCACCCCTGTGTGCGGGAGAGGGCGGTGGCCCCTTGGTCCCAGGTTTTGGGAGGACACAGAAGAGGCTGCTGTAGGTTCTGGGCCGAGGGCCGCACACACTTCCTGCTCTGGGGATGACCCTGGATGGGCTGCTGAGTTGTCAGTTTTCTGGGGCCCCTTTGGGGGCAGACATTGTGTTTCGGGGGCATTACTTGCTTGCCTGGGTTTTATAAGGCACAGGGAGGGGGGGCCTGTCAGGGAGCGGGACATGTGTCACAGCAGGCAGAGTGGCCTTGGCAGGAAGGGGGACAACTTTGTCCCCCTCAGAGGTACTGCCGGTGTGGATTCTGGTGGGGGACATCTTGGCGGCCGCAGGCTGGTCCCTACAGACGGTGGCTGTGGGGTAAGGCAGGCAACAGAGAGCAGAAACCTTATGGCACACGCTTCATTCTCCCACAGCAGCTTCAGGTGAGGCTGGAGATGGCTCTATTCCCTAGGCCCCCAGAAGCCCTTCCTTCCTATTCCAGGAGGGCCCTCTGGCCCTCTCATGCCCAACGCTGGGCCCCCTGGGACCAACCAGGAGTGCTGCACACAAGGCTTCCCGCGAGTAGGCTGGGGGGCTGCCCTTTCCTGGGTTCAGCGCCTCCATCCGCTCTGTGCACCCGTAAGCGGGCACCACACCCATTAGTCCACAGAGCTGGCGGTGCCAGGCCTAGCCTGGCAGTCCTGGGAGCCAGCAGGGCGGAGGCGGCCGTTTTTCCAGGATGGAATGTGCAGAATGTGGGGTGGGCGCCTGGCTCCTCCCCACAACCTGCCCTGACCCCACTCACCGTTTTGGGCTCTCAGTTGTCTCCCTCATAAAGTGGAGCCCTGGTGGGTGCGAGGGTGTTTGGTCAGGGAGCAGCCGTGCCTCTCCTCACAGCAGGTGTTCAGAACACCAGAACCCCTCAGGGACCACCCGGAGACCTGCCAGGACAGCCTGGAGCCCCCTGGCACCCTTGAGACTCCCCTGGGGACCACTTGGAGCCCCCTAGGGATCACAGCTGCATCATCTGGAGAAAGATAGAGTGCTGACAAGTGGATACACCTGGACCGAACGCCTCTCGAGCACTGCCCACGCGGACTTGCACCTGGGGCACACAGACCTCCTTCCTGGGTGCACTAGGTGGCTGGGTGGGAACCAGGATGCAGAGGGGGTAGAGTCCCAGGTGCTGTTCTGGGCTTCATGACCCTTTTCTCCCCATGTCAGAGATTGGACCAGCTGATCCTGCCACCAGCTGATCCTGCCCACCGGAGCCCTGTGTATGGGGGGGGTGGTGCCTGAAAGGAACGGGAGTTGGGGTCCATGACAGCCTCGGTTCCCAGCCGGGCCTCCTGGAAGGATCCGAAGGGGCTCACCTGCAGATACGTGCAAACAGCTCTGGGGGAGCCAAGCCCGCCCTCTCCCTGGATGCCCGGTGCCAGGACCGTCAGGCCCCAGGAGGTGTGGGAGCCACAGCTAGAGCACCTCAAGGCCTCAGCTGTGGGGTCTGGCATGAGCTGGGGCTTCAGGGGCTGATCCTGCCACCTCAGCGTCCCCCTGGGGGACAGGCATAGCTGCAAGTGGACCCAAATGCCCCTCTGCCAGTGTTCTGGGGCATGCTGTCCCCTCAGGTCTCATCGTGCCAATCTCTGCAATGGGACCAGACGCCCAAGGATAAGCTGGCTCTGCCCCTGAGTCCCGGAGACCACGGGGGAGGCAGCCACTGGGTCTCTCTGAGCCTCAGTTTCCTCCGTAAAACAAAGATCCCAGGCCCAAGGTGTTCAGGGGCCACACGGAAAGAACAGCATCCCCAAGCCTTCACCAATCCTGTTGTCAGATACCAACTGAGCACCTGCTAGGAGGCAGGCACCTGCTAGGAGGCAGGCACCGTTGTGGGTGTACCGTGCTGCCCCGGGAGCTTCCGTGCTGGATGGAGAGACAGGTTAAAAAGGGCAAGTATCCAAGCAAAAAGTAGAGACCGGGCACAGGTACATCCAGCACGGTCTCAAAAGGGCCGACAGGGAGATGGGAAGGAGGCGGGTATGTTCTAATAAAGGTCCAGGGCCGGAGCCGGGGGCACCTGGGTGTGGGGAAACAGGAGAAAATGAGGCTGGACGTGTGGAAGGGCCAGAGGCTGCAGGGTGTCGTCTGACCCCCCAGTCCCAGAAATCCAGTGGTGGCACAGAGGAGGCGTGCGAGCAATGCCCGGCACGAACAGGTGGATGACACCCAGCCAAGTCCCTACCTCACTGTGTGACCTCAGGCAAGTGTATTTCCCCCTCTGGGCCTGGTGAGGGGACATGTTCCCACGGTGGGGTGGTCAGTGGGCCCTGGCACCCACGATGGGAGACTGGGCTCCGACTGCTAGCTACCCTTCCTCCTGTGGACACCTGCTCAGGTAGACCCCCTTGCTCCAACCACAGCCCCTATGCGTGGCATCAGGCTAGGCAGGCAGGGGCTGAGACCATGTCCCGTACCGTCTGGCATTGCTCAGGACCCTCCGTGGGTGGGCAGGAGAGTGTGCCCAGGCCCTGGGCTTCAGGGCAGGAGGGGCCCCTGGGGACAGACCTGCCTCCTGGGGCTGCTCACCGCCACCCACCTGTGACTTCAGACTGTGGAAGTTGCTAACTCTTATCAGGATGTTTCACAAGAACACTGGCGTTTCATCTCTTTAAATGCCGGGAGCTGCAGCCTCCAACTTGCCCATCACAGGGGTTTTCCTGGAGACCCACTGGGGACCCGGGGCCCTGTCTCCATCTGCGCCCCCACAACCCTGCTGCTGCCAGACAGATCTAGTCACACTCCCAGGCCTGCTCCGTGGCCCCCACCTCTCAGAGCAACACCAAGGGACACCTTGGGGAGACCAGGCCCTGGGGCCTCCAGCCTGCTCTGCTCCCCACCTGTGACCTGCTGGCCCCTCGTGGCCCTGCCCTAGGCTTGAGCGCTCTTCCTGCAACACCCGCCCTGGGGCGTCCTCCGCTCCGGATTCTGTTCCTCCCAAGCCCCGAGGCACCGTGTCTTGCGGCTGCTGGAGTCCTTCCCAGTGTCTCGTCCAAAATCCACGGGCCCCAGGGCTCTCTGATGGACTGCTGTGGAACATAACTCCCAGCGGACCCTCAAGGTTGCCCAGTGAGGAAAGGGCCCCCCACTGGGATCACTGTGGAAACCTGCATGTGGGGACTCCAGGCTGGTGGGTAGGAGGAGAGGGCCGGGTCTGCCCCGGCTCAGAGAACTCATGGGGGGCAGCTGTGAGGACCCCTCCTTGGGCACCTACTGGGGGGGGGGCTAGTTTCCTCCCAACCCACGGAATGCTGCTATTCCCAGTGGGTCACTTCCGGCCACCCCCTGGGTCTGGGGTGATAGGACGCAGTTTCCTTAGCTGTCAAGTGGGCACATCCTGGAGAGAAGGGCCCAGTAGGTCCTGCGGACACAGTAGGTGCTCAGTCACCACGCAGAGAGCAGAAGTCATGGGTGTGGGGGGAAGGGGACCAGGTGGGACCAGGGGGAGGGGCTGGCTGGGCCCCAGGCCCTACACTGCGCCACAGGGTGGGTGGGCCCCCTACCCCCAGGCCTAGCTGTGCTGTCACCCTCTTTCCCCACCTGGCGCCCCTGCCCTGAGGCTGTGCCCACCTGCTGGCTGCCAGCATTTATTTCTGCAGACAAGCAGGTGCTGCTGCTGGCCACACACACAACTCGGGCCTCTGCTGGCCTCCGCTGACTTTCTCAGGGAGGTCCCGCAGGGATGGCCCAGGCGGACCACCAGCCAGTCCGAATGGGGAGGTGGGCCTCGGGGCCCGGACAGGGCGGAGGAGGGGTGGAGTCCACCACCGGTCACAGTTCAGCTCACGGGTACAGACGGCGTGGATGGGGCGGGGGTGGAGCAGCAGAGAGGGAAGGCAGGACTACAGACCTCCACCAGGCCCCGGGTACCCCCAAGTTGCTCCTTCTGCCTCCCAGAGCTGGCGCCCCACACCAGACAGTCTGCCAGCACCCTCGCTCCAGGCCACACAGCTGGGGCCGAGGGCAGAACCAGGCTCTTTGCGGAGACATGCTGGGCGGGCAGCTGCCCCCTCTGGGCCTGTTTCCTCCACTTCTGAGAGGTCCCTTCAGGGTCAAGCGCCCTGTGACCTGTCCACCCCCAGCGGTCCGAGCCCTTTGCACCTGCACGCGGCCTCCGACGCCACCTCCCAGGTGACAACAGGCCCCACCGTGGTGGCTGCGGAGCGGGGACACCTGGCGGAGGCTCAGCTCACGGGGCCCCTGGGAAGGCCCGAGCCGGGTCTCCACGGGCAGCTGCGCTCAGGGCCTCCAGCCACCGCTGCTGCTGCTCTGCCGACGGGGTGCTCAGGTACAGGGCCTGCTGGGCCTGCTGTAGCCGCCACACATGCCCGGTGTCCAGAGTCTCCGTGGGGTCCGGCACGCTCACTGTGCAGCCCGAGAGGGGGATGGTGCGTGGCGGCCGGCCAGCCTGCAGCAAAGGAGAGGTGGGTTGGCACCTGGGCCTCTGTGGTCCGGGCACCGCTGACCACTCCTTCCCACCGGCGGGCAGCAGAGGGGTGGATCAGAGCAGCCGGGGAAACAGAGGCCCCAGATCACACAAGTCCGAGCGGGGTTGGTCCCGGGCAGTGTGGCCCAGGCCCCTCTGGGCTGTGGGAGCTGGGACACGCCCCCCAGCACCACCCCAGGGGCAGGGGGGGCGGGCACACACCTGGCTGCCTCCCTGCAGGTGCAGCACCAGCTCCAGGGGCTCCGACGCGGGGATGGTAGCCCACACCTCGCTCCAAGTGTCACCGCTGTCTGACACCCGCAGGTGACCACACAGCAGGCTGGGCTGGGCGTCCACAGCCGCCGCCTTCTAGGACACAAAGGATGGGTCAGGCGCAGCCTCCCTGCAGGTGGCAGCCTTATGGGCGGGGGTGGGGGTAAAAGCGCCAGGCCTGGCCTTCGGGGAGCAGACTGGACAAGGTCCCGGGCTGGCCTGACCCACTCCAGGTCACCACAAGGCCTCTTGCTAGGAGGCTGGACCCTCTAGGAGAGTGAGGCCACCAGTGGGTCCAGGAGAAAAATAAAGACAGAGTAGGGAAGAACAGAACAGCAGGAACCAGGGCGTGGCTCACGGGGAAGGGCTGTGTTTCAGCTGAATGCACACACCATACACACACACACACACACACACACACACACCATGTGCACATGAACACACACACTGAGCACACGCACACACCGTGTGCACATGAGCACACACTGAACACACACACACCCTCTGTCCCGGCCCAAGGGAAGCCAACAGCTCTGGGAGCATGGTCTACGCCGTGCCAGGGACAGGGGCTCCTGTCCAGGACGTTCACTGGCCCCGCCCACCTCTGTGCTGTGCTTGGGGTCCTCGGGCACCGCCTCAGGGCTGGGGGTCTCAGGTGCTACCTGCTGGGTCAGGAAACACTCTCGGCAGACTCGGCTCTGCCTGCCGTTCTCAGCCTTGAACTCGGAGCACTTCCCACAGATGACCTGTAAGGGAGAGGGCACCTGTGACCTCACCTTCCCGACAGAAGACTGTCCAGGAAGAGGCTGGAAGGGCCAAAGGGCCAGGAGAGACGCGGCATGTAGAGGGGAAGGGCTTCTCCGCAGGAGCCTCGTCAGAGGACAGGGACCCTGGTACGGGCCCCTGCCGGGCATCCAGGACTTGCCTCCTCACCTGGAGGGTCTAGGGGTCTGTGTGGAAGACTGGGAAGAGGTGTGTGTGCACGGAAGGAAGACTGGGAAGAGGCACAAAGCACATGGAAAGATGCTCAACATCACTTGTCATCAGGGGAATGCAAATCAAAGCCATGATGAGATGTCACCTCACATCAGTCAGAATGGCTATTATTCAGAACACAGAAGGGAAGTGTTGGTGAGGATGCGGAGGAACTGATGCCATCAGCATTGTTGCTGTGAATGTAAAATGGTATGGGTACTGTGGAAAAGAAATATTTGGGGCCTCAAAAAAATTGAAAATGAAGTTACCCTATGACACAGCAATTTCCATGATCTCTACTAGATTTCTACTTCTATTTCTAAGGATGGTTGAATAAGTGAATGGACGGATGGATGATGACCCATCCGCCTACCACCCACCCACTCATCCATCCGTCCTCTATCCATCCATCCACCCATCTATCCACCCACACACTCACCCTCCATCCATTCATCCATCGATCTATCCACCCACCATCCACCCACCGTCCATCCATCCATCCTCTGTCCACTCACCCACCCTTCATCCACCTGTCCGTTCACTTAAGGGCTCATCCATTTACCTCTCCTTCCCCTAGTGCCTCAAGGTTTCATGCAAGGGCATGACAGCGAACAGCAGACCAGGCACAGTCCGCTGGTATGTTCTGGAAAAAACAGTTCTAAGACAGCTCTGTGCTTAGACCCCTTGTTGACACACATTCCATGTTAACGACTTAACCTAGGAACACTTCATCAGGCACAACTTTCCCTTCCAATGTTAAACTCAAAACCCCACCCTCAAGAGAAAGGGTCGTGGGGGCTCTGCGAGGAGAAATGGAGACGGTGATCAGTCAGGGTGCCGGTTGAAGGTGGCCTCACATTCCACAGGCCCACCCAACCGTCAGCACCCTTGGAGCACCCGGACCGAAGCAGCAGGAGGGAGCTCCCATCACGCCTGCACCCTGCACCTGCCTCCCCCCGCCCCATCCCCCCCCCCCACCTCCTCACAGGGCATGAGGTCACCCTCATCCCCCAGCTCCCGGGACACCCAGCTCTGAGCTCTGTGGTTCCAAATCTGGCACTTTTTCAGCCACGACAGCGCTGGCCAGACGCGAGCGGACCAGAGAAAGGAGGGGAGCCCCTACTTGGGACGGGCCGTCGCCTGCCTGCTCCAGGGCACCACTCTGCGGGCGGGGAGGGGACGCTGCTCCCAGCCACCGCTCAGACTCACCGCCCCGCACAGCTTGCACCGGTGCTTCCTCTTGGTGATGGAGTTGAAGGTCTCGCCGCAGCTCCTGCAGCCCTGCTTCTCCTTGTCGCGCCTGGTCTTAGCAGACCCTCTCCTCGGCTCGGGCTACGGGGGTGGCAAGGGCGCAGGGGCAGCTGGGTGAGCACGCGGGCAGTGCACGCGCAGAGCGAAACGCTCGCGGTGCAGAAGACAGAGCAGAGCATGTCGCCTCTGCTCCCGCCCAGCTCCACCCCCCAGGCTGCCCTGGGGTCACTGTGGCCCACAGGAAGGGTGTAAGGGGTCTGGATCTCTGCTTGGATCGACTCGGCCTGCGTGGAGGCGAGTGACAACCTGCTGGGTCTGAGAAGACGGTGCCCAGCCACCCAGGTGGGGAGGGGGGGTCTGCCCGGCATGGCCTGCATTGCCTGGAGCCCGTGCCGCTGGCCTGAGGCTCAGGGGCACACAGGGCCCACCTGGGCACCAGGGAGGTGGGCGGCAACTGCACCCTCTCCGCCTCCACGAAGCCTCCACCAAGCGGTCTGGCCCTCCCGCCCAGGGGTTGCCAGGGGATCAGCAGGAAGTCAGGAAACCAATGTGGTTTGTGTTCACAGAGGTTACACAGTTTTGGGACAAGTCACACGAACAACATAAAGCGCTTTTCGTTTAAACAGGCTGCGTCGGGTCCGGAGGGCGAGGGCAGGGGTTTCCATTTTACTCTACTGCTTTAGTGATTGCAGACGAGGATTTTGTTGTCGAATGTATCCACTTTTCTTCCTAACTCTGATGTCGCCCAACGCGAAGGAGGGAGCCCCTGTGTGAGAGGTGCAGTCAGACGACAAGTGGGGGGGGGGCACTGCTGAAGGCTGCCCGGACACCGCTCAGGGAGAAGACCCGCGTGCAGGGTGGCAAGCAGATAGGTTATTTGTGAGCGGAGACAAGGCTGCAGGAAGCACGCCCGGGGGCTGCTACTGGCTGTTTGGGGCCAGGGTAACTTCCTAGCCCGAGTCTGACTGCAGTTGTTCAGTTGTTCACCAGAAACATCTTATAGAAGAGGAAGAAACGAGTAAACAAGCAGAATGCAAACCAGCCTCTGTGAGCAGCCCCCTCCCAGCCTCCCGGCCCCACCAGGTTCCGTCTGCACCACGGACAGCGGGGTCTGCGTGCTGGGCTCCCATCCCCTTGTCACCGTGACTTCAGTTGTGTCCAGGACCCCAGCACCCCCAAGGCAAAGGCTTTCTCACCGGCAGGAGGCAGGTGTGAGCAGGTGCACACTGTGCAGACAGCACAGCATGAGGCTTCAGTGGGGGCTCAGCAAGGCCACTTGGCTGAGCCTTGGTTTCTCCATCTGGGTAGGAGTCGTACAGCCCCCAGCCCCTGCACTGCCCCTCATCAGCCACGAGACCATGAACGAATCATCTCTCCGAGCCTCAGGGTCCCCCATCTGTACAGTGGGGTTAGCAACGGCTCCTAAGGCCCATCATAGCAGGTGGATCCTGACTGACTTTGCCAACCCCCCTTCTATGTTCCCATTTCTCCCCACCTCACTCAGGGCTCCTTTCCTGGAGACCATCTCAGGACTGCTCAGGGCCAGATGTGGGAGGGACGGGGTCTGGGGTCGGGGGCACAGGGCAGGGAGAGGAAAGGGGAATGTGGTCATCCTTGAGGCATGCCATGGCCCAGAAGCCCCCACCCTGCCCTCCACCACCCCCCAGGGTGACCCACCAAGGGCCTACGAGGCACAAGTGGCCAGCAGAGAACAGCAGGGCAGCTGGATGTGTGCGCTGGCCCGAGGCCAGAGCCACAAATCACAGCCGGGAGTCCGTGTGGGCTTCCAGGGTGTCCCAGGGGGTTGGGGCAGGAGGAGGGCCGGAGAGGGCTGGCCCGTAAGAGCTGGAGGCGAATGCTGTGGGGCTGGAGCGCCTGGGCACCACCTGAAGGTCAGCAGAATCAAGGGCAGCTCCACAACAGGGAGGCTGGGGGCTGGGGCTGAGGGGAGCAGCCTTCTCTGGAGAGCGTTCTGTAGCCCCACGCCAGCACCCTGGGTCTGGTGTTGATGCGGCTCGCCCCAGGCCGCGCAGCTCCCAACACCGACACTGACACCAGCACCGACACTGAGGGGTCAGGAACCCACCCGCAAGGCCGGGGACTGGGTCTCCTTGGCTCACCAGGCTCCCTCTGTGGTCAGGTTATCAGACGAGAGGATGAGAGCAGTGCTCATCTGTTTGGATGCCGCGACACCTGAAAGGCCTGGGCCAAGTCCTCAGGCAGGTACAGAACTGTGGCACCCGCAAGGCTCCACCCAAAGCACCCCACATGCCAACATGGATGCGGGAGGGGGTCTCTGCCCAGGGCGCTGGGGTCTGATTCACTGGGTGTTTTTCGTCCCACAGCATAGAAGCAGGAGAAACATTCAGGCAAACGTTTGCCCCCAACAGGTGGCCGTGACAAGCAGCCCCTGAAAGAACCTCACACCTGCCCGAGGGTCCTGCAGGGCGTGGACATGGACCCTGCCCGGACCCTCTGCTCCCTGTGGGCAGCTCTGTCCTATGAGCCCAGAGGTTGGGCTCGGGGTGGAAGGGCAGCGCCACGTCGTGGTGGTGGTGGGGGCAGGGCCTTGCTTGGCAAGGAACTCCCTTAGAGGGTTCCGCATGCCCCCCCCCCATGCGTCTGGGCCCCAGGAAGCCTCTGTGAAGAGCCACGTGACTCTTGCAGAACACTGAGGGCTTCAGCTACTTGCGAAACTTCCTGGTTTGGGTTTAGCTTCTCTTAGGAAAAGCGGCTTGCAGAAGCATCTGTCTGAGGACACCAGGGCTCAGGAAATGAGACCAGCACAGCATGCATGGGCTTAGCCATCCTCTCTAAATGTGCTAAGAGTAAGCCTACGTCTGTAGCAAGGGTCAGTCTTTCGGTGTCAGAATGAAAACTCATTTTTTGAGCACCTTCCGTATAGGTGCCCAGAGGAGGTCTCACTCAGGCCCTGTACAGCCAGGGCTCTGCCCACACTGAGCTGCCCCAGGTCCAGAAACATCTCTGCTCATAGGACGCACCAGTGAGAAAAGCATGGAGCTGCCAGTCTGCTGCATTGTTTGTATGTCGTGGGCCCCGAGCAGGTGCACAGGCCCAGGGGAGGGTCAGGAGGGTGAAGCCAGACACAGGAAGTCCCTCAGGGAGTTCACGGGCGGTGACAAGACCATCCCTTCCCCACTGCCCATGCCCCTTTCAGGCTTCTTGACTCAATAAGTCTAATTGCTGGGGACTGCGTCTGTTCCCCAGTGCCATGAGGCAGCTGTACCACTTGAATAAGGGGGTTCCTCCTGTCACCTGGCCCCTGCACCCCTCATGACCCCCAAATGCCCCCTCCTTCCCTGGGGGCCCAGGAGCTTCTCAAGGTTTTCCCAGCGCCTGGTATCCGAGGACACAGGCTGGGGGCCCAGATTCCACTCTCCTAAGCAGCAGGAGGCTGCAGTGTCCAGGTGCACCTGCCCCTCCCAGCAAAGGCCACGATGGGAGGAGGGGACTAATGTATTCTTACTAAAAATTCAGGCCATGACAGGAACCTTGCTCCCTGTGGCCAAGGAGACAACTGCCATCTCCCCAAAGTTTCTTCAGATGCCCTCTTCCCAACTCGAGGAAGGAGCCAGAAGCCAGGCCTGCCTCCCAAGCCTCTCTCCAAAATGGGGCCGCCCAGAACAACGACCAATCCACAAGGGCCACACAGCCTCACTGGGCGAGCTCTGGGCTTCAACGTTGGATTAGGGAGACTCAATAGCAACTTAAGGCAGCACCTGGGGGGGGGGACGTGAGCCTGGAAGGTGAGGGCGTGGGAAAGGAGCGGAGAGGCTGGCGGGTCGCAGAATGTGACGTGGGGGACTCAGGAGCAAACCCGTGGGCAGCCAGCCCAAGTGTGGGCCTCCAGCCCTTCCCCGCCAGCCTGCCCAGGAGGGTCCCCTCCGGCACACAGGTGCAACACTCCCCTGGTGTCTTGGGTCACAGCTGTCATCAGGGTTCACGACTGGTCGGCCAGTGGTCAACAACCACACTCACAAAGTGCCAGGCACACACACTCACCCTCCTACCTAACCCCCCAACCAGCCAGAGGAGAGGAGGCCTGTCCCTGTCCGTGGGTGGGGACAGGGACACAGGCTACCTCGCTCCTTCCCTGCCTGCCTGGCCCCAGGTGGCAAGAAGGTGAGCAGGCTTGGAGTGGGGGTCTCGGGCACCACTGTCTTCCCGGGCCTGCAGGGAGGACCTCCCTCCATCCTCCTGGGCCCAAGACATGGGTCAGACACCGCCTCCGAGGAGCCTTCCCTGAGAGCGCCCCTGCCTGTCCTCCCGAGCCCTGGGGCCAGGGGGCTGACCTTTCCCTTTTGGATGACCCAGCGGCCTAAAGGTCAGGCACCGCCCTGAGTCACTTTTCACAGGAGGTAAAGAGCCCAGCTGTGTGACCTCTACCCAACCCAGGCAATGGACACATGGGTCCCAGCAGGCTCCCCCGAGTCCTCTCCCAGCAGGGCCAGAGGCTGTCGCTGAGGGGACTCAGGTCAAATGCGGTGGCATCCTGGTCCCAGCTCACCCTCCACTTTCCACCCCTGCCGAAGCTGGAGGGGTCACTCACCCCCGTGGTGCCCCCTCCACCGCCAGCTGCCACAGCAGGGTCCTCAGAGCTGGCACTCACCACCTGGAAGGGACAAAGACAGTCAGCATGAGTGCAGGTTCCACGGCCCTGCGCTGACATCCAGTGTGGCCGTAACCCTACCCCTTCTGCCTGACCACAGGGGCAGGAAGAGTCTACTGGGGCCCAGTGTTTGCTGGGACTTTGGGGAACCGCTCCTCCCGGGCCTAGCGTGGGACACTCCTGCAGAGTCTGTGCCCCACCGTGTAGGGTAGGGGAGAGGGCCTGGCTCTTCCTGCCCCTCTGTAGCCGCAGGGATGGTTCGGAGTCCAGGCTGCCTCTGCTTAAGGTGGCCTGAGACGGATGCAAAGTTTTCTTTCAAAATGTGTTCACGAAGCAGAAAATAAAGGACAGATATGATGCAAATATTAAGTGGTCTGACAGGCAGACCCAGTGAGGCTGTGGGAGGGCCAGCCGGGCCTGGTGATGGGGACACGGGGACACGAGGCTGTGGGGCCAGGCTGGGCCGGGCTTCCCTTGGTTTCAAGGGTGCCTCTGCTGGGGGGTGGGAGGGAGGGACCCCTCCTCTGAAGGCACTCATGACTGTGCCCACAGGAGGTGGCCCCTAAGGGGTGGCTGCGGTTGACACGGCCCACACCTGGCCCTGGGCAGGGCCCTGCCTCCTGCGTGTGGGGACAAGCGAGCTCCTCATGCACAGCGTCACCCAGGCCCATTCTTCCTTCCTGCCCAGCTAGGCACTGACCCACCTCGTTGAGCCCCATGGCCCCTGTGTCAGTACTCAGTAAGGGACAGGCAGTGAGTGAATGTCACCCATACGCTGGCCCCTGGTCCTTCCCCGGGGCGCCAGCCCTCTTGCATCAGGCCTAGTGCCCACCCCTCAGGGTCCCTGCCGTGCCTCCAGGGCGCTGGTGCTCACAGGGGACTCTGGGGCGAGAGAGGAGTCCTCGTCCTGGCCGAAGGAGCCGCTGAAGGCCTTGAAGGTCTGGCTGTTCTGCCTGTGCCTCTCAATGGTGGCCTCAATGACCTGAGATGAAACCACAGAGAACCAGAGCCCTCAGCGAGCACATCCAGGAGGGAAGGGGCCAGCACACCTCTGTCCTCACGGATGGATCCCATGGCCACGCACGTCCCTCTGACCCACGACCCGACACAGGTCACCCATGGCCAACCAAGTCTCTACTCCCCATCCACAGGTCCCAGGCCCACCCTGCATGCCAGGTGCCACCCCCCCCCCCCACACACCGCCCGCCGCCTGCCAGCGTCTAGGCTGCCACAGATGCTTCCCGGATATTCTGTATGGACCTGCAGACACACATCCATTTCCCACAGCAGCGTTCCCGCCTTGTTTCTGTTTGAATTTCCTTTTTCTCGCCTTGCCCAGATTTCTGTTCTAAGAATTCTGGAAGCCACAGGCCTTCCGGGTCAGCGCTGCACTGGGCCCCCTTCCTCAGCCCCTGCTCTGACCTTTGCCCTCATGGCTTTAGTCTCTGTCCCCCTTGTCCTCACCGTGGCTGATCCAGGCTAAGTCTGCTCTGGCTGCCCCAGAACACTGGCCACCTCCCCGTTCCGTGTGACCTGCTGCTCGTGCCGGCTGGCCGTGGGCTCCCCTTGGGCCCACCAGACGGCAGAGATCCACGTCCCCACCTGCCCACCTCCAGGCCTTCCGTGTTTATTTGTTCACTATGGTGCCAAACACGTGAGCCGATTGAAAGACTTGTGGCATCTGAAGGGACTTAATGAGGGTCACGTCATCACTGCGAGGGGACACATGGGTGGGCAATGCCTGGGCCACTCTATCCCTTGCTGCAACACGAAATGGCCACACTGCCCAAGAATTTGGTCGATTACTTTAAAATTTTAAAAGCTTCACCTGAATCCATTCTTTTTTCTCTTCTTCCGTCCTATAAAAACAAAAGCAGTATTTTATCAACCCAGTCTTAGACACCATTAATCACCAGACTCCTGTCAGTCCCGCAGCACATGCCCGAGCTGCTCACAGCAACCAAGTGCAGCTCAAGGGCTGGAGGACCATCTCCAAGTGCTCTGGCACACTGTGGGCAGGTGCAGTCCTGTGAGACCAGCTGGAGTCAGGGTGTGCAGGTCGGGTAGGTGTGTCCAGGTGGGACAGGTGCAGTCACATGAGACCAGCTGGAGTCAAGTGTGTCCAGGTTGGGGGGGGGGGGCAGGTGTGTCCAGGTGGGCAGGGGTGGCCAGGTGCAGGCAGGGGTGGCCAGGTGGGGCAGGTGTGTCCAGGTGGGGCAGGGGTGGCCAGGTGGAGTCAAATGTGTCAGGAGGAGTCAGCTGTGCCCAGGTATGTCTAGGTGGAGTCAGGTGTGGCCACATAGGGCCAGATGTGTCTAGACAGGATCACATATGGCCAGGTGTGGTATGCAGATCCCCCTGCAGTGAATGTAAATCAACGCCTCCCTGGACCACAACAGTTGTTACAAAGATCTCACGTTGCTCATGGAAACGAGAGGCGGGATCTCCTGTACGCTCCTGCCCCTCAGAGCACAAGCCTGGCATCAGTTACAGGGTAGTGTGACGACAGCCACCAAAGCCTAAAGCAGCTGTGCTACTGTCTGACCAATGAATTCTACTTCAGGAAACTTCCTGAAAGACAGGCTGACAAACACGCACAGAGCTGGCACAAGGACGCTGCTTCTAGCACTTTCTACAGTATGAAGATGCAGGAAGAGCCTAGGTGCCTGTCAGCAGGAGCTGGCCACGGCCCATAACAGAGAATTATGCTGCTTATGGAAACGGGGCTCGGATATGAAATGATTTCTTACAGCAAGGGGCAGAACGGGCTATATAATAAATAACCATGTGCGATTTTAAAACTCAGTACACGTTCATACACCCAGAAGTTCCGGAAAGACACCTCCAAGATGATTAAGAGTGTCTGCTGGGGTGCAGAAGAGGAGGAAGACAGAAGCTAAATCTTCACCGACTTCCCCTTAGAGCTGTTACATTGTAAACCACAAATAAGTGAATAACATAAGCCCAAAACAACACGTCACAAGGTTATCCCGTTCAGAAAAAGAAAGCTGTCTGCTAAAATCTCAGGTCAAAGCTGTTCCCACAGCAACAGAGGCTGGGACAGCCACCCTTACCGAGTCTGCAGCTCCAGGGACCGCTTCCTTCCCATTATGACGAAAGTGTGGGGTGCGTTTGGCTTGACGATATCCTGCACCTAGAGACACAGGGCCAAGGGCAAAACAAAACCACCGGTTACTTAGCAGGCCCTGAGCAGCAGGCTCGTGCTCTCAGACTGGGGGCAGAGGTGACCTAGTGGGTGGGACACTAGGGGAGCTGGTCCACGCAGGAGGGCGGACCACTGTCCTGCCCAGACAGGGCTAGGACCTCTCGTCTCCTGTGCTTGGAACTGTGCCAGCCAAGCCCTCCTGTCTGTGGGGCTTCCCAGGAAGTCAGCCACCAGCCCCTGATGCCCCTGATGAGGGGAACCTTTCCCCACCAAAGCACCTGCAGGCACTGCCCCTGGGAGAAGAATGGGAATCTCAGAAGGAGCCGGAGGATCTCTACCACTCTGCCAGCCCCCGTGATGGGAAGTCACCCTCATCCCTCTGATACCCCACCCCTAACTAAGACCCTCAGGCCCACCAGTGTCAGAACTACAACCCAGCCTTAGGGAGACACAGGCCTACCCAGAATCTGGGGTTGGGCCTCCTAGCAAGAATTTCCCAAATGCTCCAAGGTTGACAGCTTGAGCGTTAGCGTGTCTAGTTAATCATATGCCACTGATTCCTTACACAGAAACATTACAAAATGAGTCCTTATAAAAAGTAGAAAAATGTGTTTTTTTCCGTAGTTTTTACTTTTAACGCTTTTTCTTAAGCCTGGATTCAAAGAATTCTAAGAGGTATATTTTCTTCAATCATTAAGGCAAACCTTCACCTCATGAAACTGATTAAGCGCTTGATTTAGTCAGGGGTGCCTGGTGGCTCAGTTGGCTAAGCATCCGACTCTTGGGTTCAGCTCAGGTCATGATTTCACGGTTCATGGGATCGAGCCTGGGCATGGAGCCTGCTTGGGATTCTGTCTCTCCCTCTCTCTCAAAATAAGTAAATAACTTAAAAAAAAATTCTTTTGGGGTGCCTGGGTGGCTCAGTCGGTTGGGCGTCCGACTTCGGCTCAGGTCATGATCTCGCAGTCCGTGGGTTCGAGCCCTGCGTCGGGCTCTGTGCTGACAGCTCGGAGCCTGGAGCCCGTTTCAGATTCTGTGTCTCCCTCTTTCTCTGACCCTCCCCTGTTCATGCTCTCTGTCTCAAAAATAAATAAATGTTAAAAAATAAAAATAAGAAAAAATTCTTTTGATTTAGTAAGTATTTTCAGAGTGCTGGTTAATTCAGAGCCCTCCCCCACAGGAAAGGGCACTGATTCCAGCCCCTGTGGCTCCTGTGCCAGGACACAGGGGGGCTCGGGGAGCACAGGACAGCAAGCACAACAGGTCGTCTGGACCTTGGGCCTTCAGAACCTCATGTGGATTCCAAGACTGTGCAGGAGAGGAGACAGTATGGGACCAGGGAACCAGGGGACCAGGGACCAAGCAGGGAGAGCACCCTGTCCACGTTCTCCCCAAGCTTCACCTTCGGGTCCCTAAACGGGCCTTGAGCATCAACCTCACAGGGACAGAGGTGGCCCAGGTTCTGGTGCTGTCCTTCATCCTGCAAACAGACCAGCAGCACCCTAGCAGGCAGGCCAAGTACAGAGACAGGGATCCTGCCCACACTGCCAGGCTGAGTGGCCCCCAGAAATGTTTAGGCCATACCTGGAGCACAGAGAGAAGCTCAAGAAGTGGGTGAGGGACCAGGTGCACAGTGGTGACGCTCCAGCAGAGCTTGGTGTCCCCGCCCCCCTGTCCCATGCCCTGCCAGGGAAGCAGGTGAGAGGGAGGGGCTCACCCACCTGGAGGTCCGAAATGTCCATTTTCTCCCGGACACTGAACTTCTGGCCCATGAGCCGCAGCTTGGGCACACAGTAAAGGATCATGCTGTTGAACTGCAACAGGGACAGGCACCGGGTGAGGGGTGCCTGTACCCCCACAAAGGAGGCACTACAGAGAGGTGGCTTGGCAAGGCCCTGCGGCTGGGCTGGGCGTGGCTCCGTGGAGGGCAGGGCGGGGAGCATGGTGGGTGGGATGTGCTCTTTGGCCGAGGGGGCGGGGAGGGCGTGCTAGGAAGGGCGTGGCCAAGAGGGGGCGGGGCCAGGGGCGTGAACCCGCGACGGGCGTGGCTTCATGCCGGTGGGCGGGGCTCTTGGTCAGGATGAGGTTCTGTGGTGGGGGGCGTGACAGGAAGGGGGTGGCCCTGTGGAGAGGCCGGGCAGGGGGCGTGGTTCTATGGTGGCGGGTGTGGCTCTCTCTGGGGCAGAACGCGGTTCTGTGGTGGGGGCGGGGTTCTGTGGCAGGGGCGTGGCACCGTGGGCTGCAGTGCCGGGTGCGAGCAAGGCGGGCAGGGCCGAAGCGTGCCAGGTATAGCGTGAGCCTGAGACAGATGTGGCTCTATGGCTGGGGGCCTTGCGGGGGCGTGGTGATTAGGGCGTGGCTCCGTGGCTAGATTCTGTCCGGCAGTTTGGGGTTCTGTGGCGGGGGGTGTGGCTTTGTAACAGTGGCTCTGTGGCAGGGGCTCTGAGGCGTCCTGGGCTGGGCTCTGTCGGTCAGGTTGGGGGTTCTGCTGCAGGGGAAGGGGGGCGCCCCGTGGCGGGAAGGGCAGGGGCGTGGTTCCCTGTGGGGCTGGGCGGGGCTCTGCTGCAGGGCGTGGCCTGTAGGCGGGGCTCCGTCGTGGGGGCGGGGCTCCTGGGAGGGCTGGGCGGAGCTCTGCAGCAGGGAGCTGGGCTGGGCGGGGCTCTGTCGGTCTGGTTGGGGTTCTGCGGCGGGGCGTGTCGAGAAGGGGCGTGGCGGGAAGGGCGTGGCTCTGCGGCCGGGGCGTGGTGGGGGCGGGGCTCTGCGGCAGGGAGCTCGGCTGGGCGGGGCCTCACCAGGAAGAGGTGGCGGTCCTGGGCAGTGCCGTTCTTGGCAGACAGCTTCAGGATGTGGCCCTCCTTGATGAGCTCGTTGGCGGGGTTGACGATGTCCTCCTCGCCACCAAGTCGCTCATACACCTCCAACAGCTTGTGCATTTTCTCCTGTGACAGACACAGGGCTTAGGCCACCACATGGGCACAGGGACCAAAGGGCCCGTGGTGGCCACCCTGCAGGTGCGGCCCAGAACCAAGATGGGGCAGCAAGCATGCCGATGAAGAGGTGGGAGGGACACGCCAGGTGCCACTCAGGCTGGGCGTTAAAGAATGAAATGAAGTCGCCCCGCAGAGAACGACGAATAACAGCCACTAACACCACTGCGATGGGCCAGGCTGGGCTCCTCACGATACAGTTATCGGCTCAATTCCAGCACCGACCCTATGACGTAGGTGTCATTTTACCCCAGTTTAGACAAGGAAACTGAGGCATGGAGAAGTCAAGTGAGTTTCTGAAGGTGTTTCTACTAGAGAACAGGGACTGGCCCTCTCATGACCTCTACGCTGCACCCCCGGTCCCTCTCTGGTCAGAGGAGGTATTTCCGGTGGCTGCAGCTTTTGCCCTGGACCGTCATCACTGCCTGTGGTAACCTTGCCTGGTTTCCTGTTCCTCTCAGACCACGTGGCCCAGGGCCGTCAAGACACCAGACCTCTGCGGGCTGGAGGTCATCTTCGTCTGGCCTCAAGACTGCTTGGGTGGTCACATGGCCACGCGGGTTGTGATAGGAAAGGGTTGGAAACCTGTGGCCCCAGCTCTGAGCCGAGAGGCCACGGGCCCTGCCCTGAGCTGCCAGCACCAGGGCTGGAGCTGGGACCAAAGGAATGAATGCAGCAGAAGGCAGAGCTGAGCCTGCAGGAAGCTCAACTCAGTGACACAGAGCCTGGACCTGCTGAGCCACAGCAACCGCTGCCCGGAGACCTGGCCAACCTCAGCCTGCACACCTCGGAAGCAGGCTCGTTTGGCTAGCCCTCTGTCTCTGGTACAAACACAGGTGGCAGATGTGGGTGTAGGGGTAGAAGGGGGAGCCAGCATAGAGAGTAAGCAGGAGCAGGCAGGGCATGGCCAAAGGGCCTTGCATGTACTGGGGGGCTGGGCGTGTACCTGGCATGTACTGGGGGACCGGGCACGCAACTGGTGTGTACTGAGGGGCTGTGTATATACGTGGCGTGTGGGAAAGCTGGTGTGCACCTTGGAGGCCGTAGCAGGCCAGAAGATTCTGAATAGAGAGTGACAAAACAGGTGCCCCTTAGAAAGCTCTGAGCTGGAGAAGTGTGGATCAAAACTGGGGAGACTCTCAGGCTGGGAGAAGCCAGGGCAGTGGTCCAGGTTGAGCGGGGGTAGGGCCTGGTACAAGGGTGGAGAGGCTCCCATGAGCACACACTGATAATTCCCTCATGCCATGCCCTGGGGTCAGACCAGGACCCCACACCACCCGCCACCCCTGGCAAGCAGAGACCTCACCAGACTAGGGGAGAGAACCGCTGCAGGTGTGCTACAGGTGGGGCAGGAGTCCACCAAGGAGGAGGCCTCGTCTACACCCCTCAGAGATGGAAACCTGTGGGCACTCCCCCAAACGTCCACAGGCTCCATGTTACTTGTGACCATGGAGTTCTCTTTGGCATCCACCAGATTTAGTGGGGAGGCGGAAAGGGAAATTAGACAAAAAGGACCCAGGGTGAAATGTAACCTGTGTAGGTTGCGGTGGGCACCCCACAGTGGGCCTGATCTCTGACTGATCTGTCCCTGGGGCCCCAGAGCAAACTGGAGACAGGCAGGTAAGGATGTGGGGCTGGACTGCAACACAGCACCTATGGGAACCAGCAGCTGCCTCGCCTTTCTCACAATGAGAGACGTGGGGTCGAACAAATATTTCACTCCTTTTCCTCTCAAAAACAACAGTGCCCATGTGAAAATAAATTAGGTCTCAGGATTGGGAGACCCTAGGGCCAGCTGATGGCACAGGCTCACCCAGATGGCATCACAGGTGCAGTGCAGAGCTCATGGGGTTTCCCAGTGAGGCCAGGGATTTGGATTCTCCTGTGAACCGCCCCGATCTACAACGCTGGATGAGGACTTAGAAATTCTGCCCAGGCACTATGCAGGCCAAATAAGGGACAGAGCCACCTGGGTCACAACAGGGCATGGGCTCCTCCTCCACCTCTAGGCTGTGTTTGGAGGTGATGAAGTTTGGCCACAGCCCTGATGAGAGACCCCAGAGAGAACAATCTGCCTGCCATGTGCAGACACACGAGAACGGGACAGAAGCCTGGGGTAGAAGCTGCAGGTGCCTCCATCTGGGCTCTCCAGTGTTCAGACCTGCCACATACACACTGTTGTGTAAGCCCATCTGTGGGATTTTGTGACAGCAGCCTGTGCTAAGACAGAGCTTCGACAAGTGAATGAATGAATGAATGAATGGTGGGTCCTGTTCTGAGCACTCTACGTAGGGTGACTCATTTGATCCCACAACGGCCCAGTGAGACAGGTCCTGTCAGTGACCTCACTTTACATATGGGGAAACTGAGGCACAGGGCACTAGACAGCTTACCAACAACCCTAGAGTTAGTAAGTGGCTGGCCTGTAGAGCTCGTGGCAGAGGTGTGGGTGGTGTGCACGCTGTGGGGCCCTCAGGCATCTGCCAGGATCCCCACACTCACCATTTTCCGGATGGCGGCGTTGGAGTGGTTGGCGGCAGTGGAGATGAGCTCCAGGGACCCTGCGGGAGGAAGACGTGGAGTCAGGCTGCGGGGTGCCTGCTGGCACCACACACACATCCTGACCTCACCAGGTGCTGCCCTGCTCCTGCCCTTTCCCTGCTCGGGAAGGGTGGGGCCCTGCAGACACACTCCATTTTGTGGGGGTCTGCGGGGGGTCTGCCAGGGCCGGCACCCCACTCCCCCTGCCGCCACAGTTACTGCCTGTGGACCAGGAGCTGCCCCTTCCTGGGGCCTGAGCTCGGCCAGCATCCAGCAGCCCTCTCCCCAGAACCGGTGTCCACCCCTCACAGTGCAGGGGGGGCAGATGGTTCTCTGTCCTCAAAGACTCAGTCCCTTCCCCAGCTGTGCTTGGGGGCACCTGGCTGTCTCCCCTGCTCTGTCCCGGTCTCTCTTCTCTCTCTTTGGCTTCCCAGCAGGGGCCCCGGCTCCCACTGCCCAGGAGCCTCACTTTCTGCATCCTTCCGGTCAGGGGCATCTCCGGGGAGCCTCTTCAGATAGTCCTTGAGCAGCAGCTCGTAGCGGGGGACCCTCTGCACGGGCTCCAGCATATGGTGCTGCAGAGTCAGGTTCCCGCACACCTCCTGCTTCTGTGGGGGCGACAGACACACGCGTGGACCCTGGGCCCTCATCCCTGCTTATGGTGCCACAGCACCTGTGCCCTGCTGACTGCAGACCACATTTACAGCGGGGTAAACTGAGGCTTGGAGAGGCTGCACAATGGAGCAAGGGCCCCGACTCCCAGTGCTAGCTCCTTTATACACGTCCTCACTGGAGTCCTTGCACCCAGACGACTTCTTTCCCTCACTGGTAACTCCCCCACTCCATCAGGGGCTGGGCCTGCTCCCCTCCCAGACATCAGGAGTTCTCTGAGTGCTGCTGTGTGTTCTCATAGAAATGCAACCCTGCCTGCATGCAGGGGTGGGCTCTCAGGCCCTACCCTGCCCCTGCCCAGCAAGGCTCACAGGCTCCCTACCCCGACCCTCTGCTCCCACAGTGCCACCTCTGTGCTCCCCTCTCAGGTCCCCTCCCCTTGCTGCCCACCTCCTCTTCCTCGCAGATCAAGAGGAAGCACCCCTGTTGAGGCCCTGCTTGCCTCTTACAGAGTCCCCCTCGCCCCTGCCAGGGGAGGTGCACTGTCCACCCGCTGTTCCCCACCTGTCACCTGTGCCCACTCAAGGCCCACAACAGAACGGCTTCCAGCTCAAATGAGCTCCAAAGGCTTCACACACAACAGGCCTGGAGAAACACTGGCCTGCAACTGTCACAAACACGATCCTCCCGGCAGGGGCGGGGCGGGGGGGGGGTGCGTTATCAGGGGTGAGGAGGAACCAGATGTTCACATAATCTCAAAGTAGCTCCCTGCAAGAAACTTATTGGGACCACGGAGGGCACGTGCTTCCTGGGAAAGGAGACCATGGCACAACTCACGCTCTAGCAGGCGGGCGTACAGAACTGCTGCACCTGCACACTCCGCCCTCCTGATGGCCTGCTCGGGCCGACAGTGCCTGCCCCACCGCTGGGCCTCCAGGCCCTGCTGATGCAGGTGGCACAAGGTCCCGGTTCCTGCTGGTCACCCGGGGCTGGGGCTCAGCCACGGGCCCAGCCTGGGAGGCTGGAGGGGGTATTCCGTGGAGACAGCTGGGGCGGATGTGGCTGCTGGGGGGAGGAAGGACTCGGCATCAGCACTGTCCTCTCTGGGGCGGGAGGGAAGCTGGGACGCAGGGGGATCTCGGACTCTACACTAGGAAATCACAGGTGACCTGATGGCTGCAGGATCTGAGGAAGATGCAGAGTGGAGTAAGGTGTGTGTGAATGCATGTGTACACGCACGTGTGTGTGTGTGTGTGTGTGTGTGTGTGTGTGTGGCATGTGCACACACATGCACTCTGTGGTGTCCAAGTGTGGCGCTCAGGGTAAACAGATGTTGGGACAAGCAGCTAACTATTCACAAAGATAAAACTGGATTCTTACCTCCTACCACAATCCTTTTGGAAACTATTCTGGAATAGCAATTCTAATTTTTTAAAATGAAGACATAACACAGTCGTGGGATGGGAAACGCATTTGTAAGCATTACTTTGAAGATTTCTTAAAGCGTTAATATATTAAAAAACTAGTGAAGGGGCACCTGCGTGGCTCAGTCAGTGGGGTGTGTGACTCCTGATTTCAGCTCAGGTCATGATCCCAAGGTTATAAGATTGAGCCCTACATTGGGCTCTGCTCCAACAGTGTGGAACCTGCTTGGGATTCTCTCTCCTCTCTCTGTCCCTCCCCTGCTCATGCTCTCCCTCTCTCCCAAAACAAAATAAACATTAAAAAAAAAAAAAGAACTAGTAAACGTGAGTACTTAAAAACAAAAATTTTGTATGGCAAACAACATTAATAAAATTAAAAAATAAAAGATCCATGAGGAAAATAACTTGTAGGACACAGAAGATGTTCTTAACATATAAAAGCCTGGGGCGCCTGCGTGGCTCAGTCGGTTGAGGGTCTGACTTCGGCTCAGGTCATCATCTCGCGGTCCGTGAGTTCGAGCCCCGCGTCTGGCTCTGTGCTGACAGCTCAGAGCCTGGAGCCTGCTTCGGATTCTGTGGCTCCCTCTCTGCCCCTCCCTACTTGTACACGTGCACATTTTCTCTCTCTCAAAAATAAACATTTAAAAAATTGTACAATGAAAGAAAGAAAAAAATTCCATTAAAAAACATTAAAAATCTGAAAAATTGTTAAACAAAACAAAAGTGACATAGAAGAGACTGCTGCAGCAGAGACGTGACCAGGCGGCTTGCAGAAAGACAGAAGGAAGACCGATGCACATTTCCCTCCATGCCTGCGTGGCTGGTGAGTGGGAGACACGGGCACTGGACCCAGAATCTACCCAGTAACACATCGCACCACCTCTCTGAGGCATGCTTCCCTCCTGTGAAATGACAACTAGGGTTCACGTCCCGTGGTTACTGTGTAGAGCTTCTGGACACAATCTGCTGTTTCACTGAACTTCCCTGCGCCGGCACGCGACCCCGCGCCATGCTGCACAGTCAGGCGGCTGCCCTACCTGTATGCCTTGGATGATCTCTTTGAACAGCGGCGAGCGCTGGGTCCAGGTGCTCACCAGCTCCACAGCACGGTCGAAGTTCTTGACGTACTCGCCGTACATCTTGAGGAACGGGGCCAGCTTCTGCAGGATGTCTCCAAGCCGGGGGTTTGTGTCCCTGTGCGGGGGAGACAGGTTGTCCGAGAAACAGCTTGGGCGAGGGGCCAGAGTTAGGACAGGGACTCACCAGGAATCTGTGGGCCAACAGCCCAGCCCCCAGCTCTGTGTGATGGTGGGCACACCGGTCACCCTCTCTGAGCCTGACTTCCACCCCGCCTCCCATATCCCACGGGCTGGGAAACAGCACGCTACACAAGGTAAACGAGAGGATCGCATGGGCCCTTCGACAGTGCAGGCACAGGACCGCCGCTCCAGACCAGGGTTGCCAGCGGTGACGTGACCGCTCAAATGACAGGCACCCATCAAAGAGCATCCGTGAAACCCCATTTCAGCCGTTAGATGAGCAGATTTTAGGAACAAGGGGCTGAGCAGGCGCTGGCCTAAGAAGGGGGAAGGAGTGCAGTGCTGAAAACGGCACAGACGGGGATTTGAAAACGAACTTCCAGAGGAAAAAGAGATCAACAGCCTTTGGCCTTGGAACTGTGGGGAACTGACCCTAAAGAGATGATCAGAAAGCAAGTGCAGACAGCCATCCACTGTGGCATCACTGGACCGTGCACCGGGGGACGTCGCTCAAAGGCTGGCCACCTGTGAAGGCAGGTGGGCAAGCCCCTGGGGAGTATCTGCGCACGTGTGGTCTTTCTAGATCCTCAAGGAGAAAACCCACTTTTCAGCAAGTGTGGACAGCGGCCTGGGGGCTGTATAACCCTCACTGCAGGTGGAGTACATCCTTACAAAGGACCGACCAACTGCCAGGGACCCTCCCTGACACCCGAGTCAAGGCTCCTGGCGTCTGTGCTCTCAGTGGCCCGGCTGCAGCTGCAGAGTGGGCTCTTGGGCGCCAGAGAAGGGAGGGAGCAGCAGAGGCCCCAGAGCGAAGCAGCAGCACCCGGAACCGGGGGGGCGGGGAGTGGGGGGAGGCACATGCTGCGGAGAATGGCAAGTCTGGGGCCATGCCTCACGGCCGAGCTGACCCTCTGCTAAGAATGCCCAGAGGGGCAGAGGGGCAGGACCGCCCCTGGGGGCAGCAGCAGAGGATTCAAGGGGCACTGCGAGGGGGAACATCTCAGTTTTTAAGGCCAAGGCGGAGTATACACGAGGAGGGAAATGAACGTGCCGGCACTGTTTACTCGATGTTTGAGATCCCATAAAGCCCTGAGTGGGTATTAAAGTCCCTTTGATTTGCAGGTGAGGCAGCCTAGATGTGGGGACACTGCATGGAAGGAGCCAGGCCCTCAGGTGCCTCCTTGTCTTTCAGGCACACAAACCAGATTGAGAGGCCGCTGGGTCGTGAGAATTCCACAAAACCACCACGACAGAGTCGCCAGGGCCCCAGCCTCCACCAGCATTGAGGTCACGCTCCTGGGGAGATGCCCGCCCCCACTTCCGCGGGACCCGGGGCCACGCTCACCACTCCTCCGTGATCCGTGTCTGCAGTTCCGGCAGGAGGAACTGCCCGTGGAAACGATAGATGGAGGAGATGTTGGAGAAGATGCCTGTGGTGACTTCCGGAGGGATGCCTGCTTCCGCCAGCTGGGTGCAGAAAACCTGGGGTGCAGAGGCCCACAGAGCGGGCGCTGAGCGAGGGCTGCCACAGACAGCACGACCGCATTTGCCCCGTGAGGCGTTCGGGAGAGGCTGCTGCTGCCCGTTTTCTTCATCAAACTGGCTCAAACCTACGGTTTTACAGCGAGCGAACTTATGGCTGAGGAGTGTGGGTGAGGCAGACACAGTCTCCTGCTGATGGGGACAGGCCATCTTCCCTCCACCCACCTGCCACGGGACCTGGGAGGTCCCGATTTCCTTCCTCTGCTCCGTGAGCTACAGACAGAAGCAGCACCTAGCACTCTCTGAGTTCCCCAGGGGTTTATTTCCTGTGCCCATAAATCCTGTGCTGCTGTGGGGACAGGGAGGGGCCAGCCGCTGTCCCGACCACTTACGCAGAAAGATTTCCAGAGGCCATTCACGAGCTGAGACAACGCGACTGCCAGGCAGAAAGACCCCGCAGTGACAGGACAAGACCTCTGTCCCAGAGCCCCAGGCTCAGACAGCGAAAGGGAAGGGTCTCTGGACGAGACTCACATTCCAACCGTAAGGCCTAGCCAGCGCCATGAGATGGGGACTCTGCCTCCGCCACTGCGCACAGACACCCTCACATGCGTGAAGAAGGGCCCGGCCGCGTGTGCTACCTGGTCCAGTAGGTGCAGCCGCCTCACGTAGGTTTTCTCTGTGTGCAGGAGCTCCTGGGCGATGTGGAGCAGCTTCTGGGGCTCAGAGCACTGCAGAGAGAAGAGCATCAGCTCCCTGGGGAGGCGGCTCTGACGCTGGGTGACCAGGGGTCCCGGAGGGCCGGAGGAGACCGCTAGGCCTGGGACTTTTCGGGGAGGTTTCTGGGGAAGGCACAGCAGCTCCTGCCAATCCCCTCAGAGCCTCTGCAGCCCAGAGACAGCTCTGCCCTCCCGAGACCCTGGCCACAGAGCCGGTGGAGCAGCCACATCAAAGTATCCTGTGGCCTTTGTCAGCAAGATGGCAGACCAGAAAGGCGCTGAACTCAAAACCTGTAAACCAAGAATGCTGTATCTAGAAAAGCTGTCCTTCAAAAATGAAGAAGAAATTAAAAAAGAGTGTCCCAAACAAACAAAAGGCGAGGAGTTCATTATCACCAGACCTGCTCTGTAAGAAATGCTAGAGAGTCATGCAGCTGTACAAAAATACAGGCGCTCTGGTAAGGAAAACACATGGACAGATAGAACCTGTATTATTGTAATTCTGGTGCATAAAATTTAAATGACAGAAACCATTAAAAACCTGGAAATCTACACTAAAGGGTAAACAGTATATCAATGTGTAATTCATGACATCAGTAATGGAGTGGGGAGGAGGGGCTGCTGTAAAGGAGTGGTTTTTGCAGTCAAAGTCAACTTGTTACCAGTTTAAAATAGAATGCTATAACTTATGGTGTTTCATGTAACTTCAACGGTAACCACAGAAAAAAATTCCTACAGAATATACACAAAAGGAAATGAGTAGGGAATCAAAACATACCATTACAAAAATTCAATGAAAAATAAGGAAGGCAGTAGGAAAGGGACAAAAAATCCACAAGACGTGTAGAAAACAATGATCAAAATGGCAAAGGTTAAGTCCTTCCCAATCAGTAATTACTTTAAATGTAAATGGATTAAACTCCCCAATCAAAAGACATGGACTGGATGAATGGATTAACAAAATACTATCCAAGTAACTACTTGCTGTCCACAAGACACTCCCTCTCGATTTAAGGACAGACGTAGGCTAAAAGTGAGAAGGATGCAAAAGATACTCCATGCACATAGAGACAAAGAGAGAGCAGGGGTGGGCACACTAATATCAGACAAAACAGACTTTAAAGAAAAAAGACAAGACAGAACTTCTGTTACAAGACAGAACAAGGGACAGGATATAATGATAAAAGGATCAATGTAGACACAACCACAAATGTTTATGCACCAAGCCTCATAGCTCCTGAATATAGGAAGCAAACTTGACAGAACTGAAGGGCGACACGGCAACACAGAGATGGTAGGAGCCTTGTGTACCCCATTTTCCTACTGGACCTGCAGACAGAGTCCCAGTGAGGAAACAGAGGCTGTGAACAACACAGTAGACCAACCCGCCAAGCAGACATACACAGAACCCTCCACTCAAATCAACAACCTAACTTTACACCTCAAGAGATGAGAAAAAGAACACGCTAAACCCAAAGTAGTCAGAAGGAAGGAAATAATAGAGATTAGATCAGAGATAAATGGAACACAGAATAGAAAAACAATGAAAAAATCAACAAGACTAAGGTTGTTTTTTGCAAAGGTCAACAAAATTGACAAACTCTTAGCTAAATTACTAAGAAATAAAGAGAGAAGACTCAAATTACTAATATCAGAAATAAAAGAGAAAACATTACAACTGATGTCACAGAAATAAAAAGGATCACAAGAGATTGGTATTAACATTTATACTCCAACAAACTGGACATCCTACAAGAATGGATAAATTCCTAGAAACACATCAAGACTGAGTCATGAAGAAATAGGAAATCTGAATAGACCCACAATGAGTAAGTAGATTGGCTAAGAAATAAAAAACTTCCCAAAAAAGAAAAGCCCAGGACCAGATGATTTCATTGGAAAATTAATACCAGTCTTTCTCAAATGCTTCCAAAGAATTGAAGAGGAGAGAACAGGTGTGCCTGGGGGGCTCAGTCTGCTAAGCATCTGACTCTGGATTTCGACTCAGGTCATAATCTTGCAGTTCATGGGATCCAGCCCTGCGTGGGACTCTGTGGCGACATCAAGGGTCCTGCTTGTGATTCGCGCTCCCTCCACCCTCTCTGCCCCTCCCCCAATTGTGTGTGTGTGTGCTTGCTCTCTCTCTCTCTCTCTCTCTCTCTCTCCCCATCCCCCAAAATAAAATAAAAACTTAAAAAAAATAATAAAGAGGAGAGAACATAGCTGAGCTCTGTGAGGCCAGCATTACCCTGATACCAAGGCCACTCAAAGACTTTATAAGGAGGCTACAGAGCAACCTCCCTAAAGGACACTGATGCGCAAGTCCTCAACAGAACAGTAGCAAATTTCATTCAACACTACCTGAAAGGATCATATGCCATGACCAAGAGAGATTTATTCTGGGATGCCAGAGTGCTTCCATCTATCAACATTCAACACACAACATTCACAGAATCAAAAACCCCACCTGATCATCTTAATTGACACGGAAGAAGCATTTGATAAAATGCAATGCCCTTTGTGATAAAAGCAACATACTATGAATAAACGGGGACTTCCTCCACATAATAAAGGCTGACTTGATGTGTGTGACCCTCCCACATCAGCATGCCCTCACTCTACCTGGGTGGGGGGACGTGAGGCACAGGGTCCCAGGGCTCTGATCCAGTGCCTCACACCAAGGATGGGCCAGTGTGTGATGTTCTAACCAGACACCCAGGATGGAGAAGGCAGACAAACCCAGAAGTGTTGGCATCTCCGTATTAGAGACACGAAGACCTGGGCCTTCTCCAGCAAGCCCCTGGCCCCGGGCACATCCCCAGAGCCTGTGTGGGCAGGATGGGACAAGCCTGGGGTCTGCACCTGCTCCCAGCACCCCGGACACACCTTGAGAGCCACAGGTGGTGTGGTCCTTAGTAACCACATCATTTATTTTCTGCATTTAATTTTTTTTAACATTTTATTTATTTCTGACATAGAAAGAGACATCGCACGCACGAGTGGGGGAGGGGCAGAGAGGGAAGGGGGCAGAGATCTGAAGGAGAGCCCCACGTGGGGCTCAAACTCCCAAATGGTGAGATCGTGACCTGAGACGAAGTGAGACACCCAGATGCCCCTATTTTCTGTATTTCAGGTGTTTGGACATCTTGGGACCTTGCTGACCCCACAGCAAGGGCCCCTCCCAGGTCTGACTGTTTCTTGTAGATATAAAGGACCCACGTGCAATCGTGTCTTTCACATGCAAGCCAGGCCACGCTGATCCAGACATCTGGGAACGCGTCTGTGCCCAGGGCACACTAAGGTCATTCAAGTTGGCCAATCCAAACTTGCTCACCCTGCTTCTCCCGTTCCTTCCCACAGAAACCACAATGTGTACTTGCCACAGTTTTCACCCCCTCTGCCTCTTGACCCACTCTGGTCCTGCCCGTGTGGCCCCGTGGCCCGGCCTGCTCCTCTTCTTGGGAACTATAAGTAACAAACCATCCGTTTTTAAGTAAGCTCCACGCTCAATGTGGGGCCTGATGCACAACCTGGACATCAAGACTCACGTGCTCTACTAGCCGAGCCAGCCAGACTCCCCACCATCTTTTTCAACGGCTGCCGCCTCCTGATGTGTTGGCATTACCACACCCCAACAGTAACAAAACCTAGATTAAACCACAGCTCCCTCCTGCCCCCGAAAAGTTGGCTCACAAGAGCGAGGGCGCGTGGTGGCCCCTCACCCTCCAGGCCTGTCTTCTGTCTCGGTCACGTTAGCCAGTAGGCTCTCCACCGGGGCCAGCAGGTCGGGGGTCCCCTCCACCGGGGCCACAAGGTCGGGGGTCACCTCAACCAGGGGTCACCTGGGCTTCTCGTAGGACCCGGTTGCTTGTGCCACCCTCCCCACACACAGGCGTCTCTCAGAGCCAAGGGCCCCCTGCTTCATCTCCCCATCCCCACTCGTCCCCGCACGGTGCCCAGAGCCCGAGATGCTGACAGGACACAGGTGGGTCTGTCACAGCACACCCACCATGTTGTGGGCATATCTCCTTCCCAGAGCATCTGCACAGGGCTTGGCTCCTGTGCCCAGGCTCCCCTCCCGCCCCTGCCATGCTCCACGGTGACCTTGGGGTTCCCCATTCCTAGCACAGGGGACACTCATACTGCCTTCCTCACAGGGGCTCTGCCAGGCGGGCAGCCAGTCCTGGTGAAGGGTGTGGTGGTGGTTCCATTAGCACCGTCACGGCCACCGGGGGTGGGGTCCCCGTGCCACCGTGTGGACATGTTAACCTAGGCTCGGCAGTGAGGTTGCCGCCTGAAGTGTTGGGGCCCCTGCCCTACCCACTGACCTGTTGCAGGGCCTGTCTGAGCATGCTGATGTGCAGCCACTACTGGAACCAGGCGGGAGCGATGCCACCGTGACCCTCAAGACCCTTCAGAAGACCCCTGCTGCCTGGAGGTGGGGTGGCCTACCTTGGCTGTGTCCGCATGGGCCCCCGGCGGGCTGTTCTCAGTGTCTGGCTCCTCAGCGCTACCTTCGCCCACATCATCGCTGTCGGCCTCCTCCCGCAGGGCCCCACCTTCTGGGGCTGCCTCTGGGTGTAGCCCCGGGACCATGGGGCCCAGGCCGGCCTCACCACCCTCTTCACAGGGAAAGTGCTCGCCGGCCACGCTGCAGGATGGACTGTCGATCCCACTGTCGCGATTAGGGATCTTAACGCCACCACTGGGGTCCCCCGCGGGGCCTGCATCTGGGGGCCTGTCCCCTGCGGTCGGGCTGCCGGGACTCCCGGGGTCAGGGTCCTTGCGGGGGGCTCTGGGCCCAAGGGGCAGTGCTTGGAACTTCCCCGGGGCTGCCCTTGGCAGCCCCGGGGAAGAGCAGTCAGGCTCGATGTTCGGCTCCTCCAGGGCAGCAGCGGGGGTCGGGGCTGTTGAGGACCCCTCTCCCGACTCCATCCTCAAAGCTGAGCTCTGCGGGGGACCAGCCAGGGGCTTCCTGTGGGAGGAAATGAGCAGGGTCAGTGCCAGCCAGGCATGGACCAGTCCATGGGCACAGGCATGTCCCCCCAGAGAAGGGAGGAGGTGGGAGGGGACTGAGTGTGGAGTGAACAGCCCACACAGCTCCAGCTAGGCCCTATCCAGACAGACTTTTAGAGAATACCAAATGGAAAACATTTTATTTTTAAAATAAAATTTTTTTACATCAAAAAAAAAAAAGGAAGGAGAAGAGACACAGAGGGAAAGAAGAAGAAAGGAGGGGAGGAAGGAAAGGAGAGAAGGAGGGAGAGAAGGAAGAGTGGAGGGAGGAGGGAGGGAAGGGGGAAGGGAAGAAGCAGAGAAGGAGAAAAGGGAAGAGGGAGGGAAGGGAGGAGGGAAGGGAGGAGGGAGGGAAGGGAGGAG